GCTTTATGTGTATTAACCCAAACTGGAAACAACCCAAATCTTGCTTCCAACATTTGAAGCAGGGGAATGGATAAACAGACGTGGGCCGTTACACATAAGGCTGCTATGAGCACTAGTGTGCACTTCTTTGGGTGGATCTGTGTTTTCATTTCTCTTGAGTAAGTTTCTCAGAGTAGAATGGCTGGGTGATAATTATGTTCAGTATTTTAAGAAACTGCCAAATTGTTTTCCAAAGTGGGTGTAGCATTCTGTAGTCCCGTTGACAGTGCAGGAGCATCCTGGTCCCTCCAGATCCTCCCCAGCACTTGCTGTGGTCAGTTCCCTTGATGTCAGCCATTCTAGCAGACACACACGGCACCTCAGAGTCTCATCCCCACCCCATTCCCTTCAGACGCTGTTTCACATGGCCACTAGCCAGCACAACTGCCTGGCTTGTGTCCTACCCCATCCATGCCCCTCAGTCTCCAGCACCCTCCCACATACTGCTTGGTACAGATCTACAGTGACGTAAACTCAGAAATGGAGAGGAAGAATTCAGAAACTCACATGCCTGTAGCACACGGTAGCTTTATAACTGTTGGATCTAATAAAAAAAAAGTTGGGGCTTTGTTTTGCATGTCTATGGTTTTAAATTTTTTCTAGTAATTCATTTTTACTGTATTTTACAAAATTATCTGCAATAGATTTCCAAATCTTAATGTAATTTTTATTTTTTTCTTTTGAATTTATTTACTTTGACAGTTTTTTTATTGAAAGGTAATTGATTATACATATTGGTGGGGTACAGAATTGAATACCAATACACGTGTACAAAATGTGGTGATCAAATCAGTATAATTAGTACTCACGTTCACAAAATGTAATGAATCTCTGTGACCCTTAACTAGTTTCTCACCAACCCTTCTCCCCCTTTCCCACCTCTGATAACCACAGTTCTGTTCTTTTTTTTTTTAAGTTTAATGTATTATTGTAATTCATTCATTCTTTCTTACTTACTTCTTTCTTTATTTTAGCTCCCACATATGAGTAAGGAAATGTGGTGTTTCTCTCTCGGTGCCTGGCTTACTTCGCTTAACATAATTTTCTCTAAGTTCATCCAAGTTGCTGCAAAGAGCAGAATTTTCATTCTTTTTATGGCAGAGTAGCATTCCATTGAGTATATATACCACATTTTCCTTACCCAGTCATCTGTCAATGGGTATTTAGGTTGATTCCAGCTCTTGGCTATTGTAAATTTATTTATTGTAAATAAATAAACATAGAAGTGCAGGTAAGAAATCAAGAAAGCAAGCCCATTGAAAATAGTCACTAAAAAAATGAAATACCTAGCAATCAATTTAGCCAAGGAGATGAAAGATCTCTACAATGACAACTACAAATCACTGCTGAAAGAAATTGGAGGACACAAAAAGATGGCAAAACATTCCATGCTCATGGATTGGAAGAATTAACATTGTGAAAATGTCCATACTAGGGCCGGCCCGGTGGCGCACTGCTATAGTGCGCCACTTGGGAAGTGCGGTGGGAGCTCCCGCCGAGGGTTCGGATCCCACATACAGACCGGCCGCTCACTGGCTGAGCGAGGGGCGGGGGCAACACCGAGGGTTGCGATCCCGTGGCCGGTCCTGGTCCGGTATGGGCGTGACACTGAGGGTTGTGATCCGTTGCCGGTCACGAAAAAGACAAAAAGGAAAAAAAAAAAAAAGAAAATGTCCATACTACCCAAAGTGATCTCCAGGTTCAGTGCAATCCCTGTCAAAATACCAATGACATTCTTCACAGAAATAGAAAAAACAATCATGACATTCATATGGAACAACAAAAGACCCCAAATAGCAAAAGCAATCCTGAGCAGAAAAAAATTAATAATAATAATAAAGCTGGAGGCATAACACTCCCTGACTTCAAACTATACTACAAAGCTATAGTAATCAAACCAGCATGGTACTGGTATAAAAACAGACACTCAGACCAATGGAACAGAACAGAGAACTCAGAAACCAACCCAAATACTTACAGCCAACTGATCTTTAATAAAGATAACAAGAACATACATTGGGGAAAAGACTGCCTCTTCAATAAATGGTTCTGGGAAAACTGGACATACATATGTAGAAAAATGAAACGACCAGTATCTCTCACCATATACCAAAATCAACTCAAAATGGATTAAAAACTTAAATATAAGACCTGAAATTATAAAACTCATAAAAGAAAGCAGGGAAAACACTTGAAGATATAGGTATGGGCAAAGACTTTATGAATATGACCCCCAAAGCACAGGCAACAAAAGAAAAAACGAACAAATGGGATATCAAACTAAAGCTTCTGCACAGCAAAAGAAACACTTAACAGAGTGTAAGGACAACCTACAGAATGGGAGAAAACATTTGCATCCGACAAGGGATTAATATCCAGAATATACAAAGAACTCAAACAACTTCACAGTAAAAAAACAAGTAACCCAATTAAGAAATAGGCAAAGGATCTGGACAGACATTTCTCATGGAAGATATACCAATGACCAACAGACACATGAAAAAGTGCTCCACATCACTAAGCATCAGGGAAATGCAAATCAAAACCACACTGAGATACCATCTCACCCCAGTTAGACTGGCTATTATCAAAAAGAATAACAAATGCTGGCAAGGATGTGGAGAAAACGGAACCCTCCTGCACTGTTGGTGGGACTGTAAATTGGTGCTGTCATTATGGAAAACGGTATAGAAGTTCCTCAAACAACTACAGATAGAACTGCCACACGATCCAGCAATCCCACTGCTGGGTGTATATGCAAAGGAATGAAAATCACCTTGTCGAAGATGCACAGAATTCTTACATGCTGGTCCCCGGGCAGTTTGAGAAGCGGGCTCAGAATGGGGCGGGGCCCCAGGACTCTGCCGGGCCCTGCTCTGTACCCACACTCGTCCCCTGGTGATCTTGCCTGGCTGCTGCTTTAAGTGACACCTGCACCAGCACCCCCAGTGTCTGTCACCTCGTCCCTCCAAAGTCATGTCTCTAAGATGTCCCAATTCCTGAGTCTCTTCGCTAAACCTGCTCTAGCGACTACCTTCCCCGTCTCCGCCCCGTCCTTCCAGAGCCTCACCGTGAACCTGGCCGTCAACGCGGATTCCCCTTCCTCACAGTAAATCCAGGGGCCCCACTGCAGCCGGAATCCACCCCTGCCCCGCCGGCGCCGTCGCTCTCGGTCCCCGCGCCCGCGCTCCTCCACGCGGGGCTCCTGTGCCCAGCCGTGCCCACCGAGCTTCCCGCCAGCGTCCGGGGCCGCTCCCACTTCCTGCCCCGCCCCGCCCCGCCCCGCGGCCCCTGACCCCGCTCTTTCCCGCCGAGGCGCTGCTCTCCGTCGGGCGCCCGCCCCCGGCCTCCGCGGCGTCCGGCGCTCAG